AAGGAAAATCTGAGGTTTAATTTGTGCATCACGATTAATCTGGGGTGTTGAGCATCATAATCTATTGAAAAGCAATTGGAAATCAATTCATGTACAAGTGTGTCATGTGTGAAGAACAGACCTCTAACTAATCCATCCATCATCTTATTTCTCAAATTCGTTTTACAATCTACCTAGTTTTATAACTTGTTTGTTTGTTTCAAATTCATCCAAATCAAAACCCCCCCCCTTTTATTTTCTTGTTTCAAAGTGTTTTAAATCTATTTTGTTTGTGTTTTTGAGTGTTTTGATTCAAGCCAAAACACTAAAGTCGTCCAAAGTTGTGTTAAAGTCAGTAACTGCCCAGTTTGTGTTTTTAGGCGGTTTTGAGTGTTTTTAAGTTGTTTTGAGTCTTGTGAACCTATTTTGAGTCATTTGAGTCAATTCAAACGTTTTTAACTTTGTTTTTATGTTTTTGAGTCAGTTTAGAGGTTTTAGCAAGCCTTCCTAATCCCCGGTTTAGAACGATCCCTACTTGCATTTATACTACGATTTGACAATAAGAGGGTTTAATTTGAGTGCTTAACTTTTATCACATCAGCTAATGAGACCAAATTTATATGACTACCTTTAGAGATGTTGCTGGTTTGCATTGCCTTGCAAACCTTCAGTTGTGTTATCATATATTCATTCTACTTTTGCGTATCTAGTTTCATTATCATTTATAATAGCCTAGTAAGTTTCCAAGGATCCAAATGTTAGAACTAGGTAGTCTAATACTAAAAGATAAAATAAAATAAAAACTATTTAAATTCTAATTAAATATTTAAACTAATCTATGATTGCAAGAAGATGAACATAAATAAGAACTCCATTTTAATATAAAACTTTGTAGTAACATGGATAAATAAAATCATACGTTTACTCATCATTATATATAAAGTCATAGCTTTATCACCCATGTTACAGTAGGAAAATTGACAACAAAAATAGGGATTAATAGATCCTTGGCATAGAATTAAAATCACTTATGGAAAAAAAAAAACTAAATCAACTCTTAAAAAAATCACTGTAAATTACCAACTGCTTTACATGATGAAACCATCAGAACTTGAAACTTGGCAAAGTGTGAAACAATTTAGTTATTGATAAAATTCCCAGAACCTCGGTTAATGATAAACATCTCAAATAGCATTAAAAACACTTAAGGAAAATCTTGTAACAAATAAAAGATAAATGGTCACCACCACTAACAACTAAGAGTTATTAACAACAATCACAGAGCAATTCCTAAATGGGTGTATTTATACCATAGGAAGGGACATGAGGATATCTAAAAGTAGATATTGCACTCTCTTAGGAGTTGTGATTAGTTGTGGCGCATACCAATTCCTAGATTGTTTTCTAGATTATAGGAACTCCAAGACTTATAAGGATCTGATCGTGCCCATATCCAAATCAGATCGCATGTCTTGTGAAACAAGCATGGTCATTCCAATGAAGTCACTCAAACTTTGCCCATTTACTTGGCCCTAGAAAATCATGGTCCTACAATTGCCCCTAACATGCATTTGAAAGGAAATATGTTCCCCTTGAGGATGAACAATTATCCAAAGATCACGCTTTCAAAGTAAGCTGGACTACGTACAGTTTAATCTTCTTTCTATGTGTGGTGATCCAACTCGTTATGGTGTAGTGGACATTTTGGATTTAGACATGTGATCTCGGGTGTCATGCCATAAAATTTGTAATGATAACGGGTACTGCAAGCGACAACCATTCATATCTTCGAGCGACTTCAATCCTCATATGCACAAATCTTAAGGTAGGTAACGTTTTGCATTCATCGACTGTATCTCTAAGTGCTTTGTTTTTAAATAGTCCCTCTATAGCGAGGTTCCTCCATACCTATTTTCCTCTGTCCATACCATGAAGCTTCTTCCTTCACTCCATAATCTTCTTTTTAGCTCAGTTATCCCTTTGAATCTTCGATATTTAGGATCTTGAAATCAGAAAACCATGTTTTTTTTTTCTACCAACCTTTACCAAACAAGTTGAGCCATAATCCCTTAATAGCATCTGTTACTTCTCATGATTTGTTCCATAGTATTCATCTTTGTGCCACATCCTCCTTGCAACCTTAGCATATGGGTTTAACCTCAACAAAGTGTGATATTCCTTAGAGGATTCTTCGTCACAAATTTCTTCCTTACATTTAGGTGTGAATGATGGTGACAACTAAACTTCATCAAAGTTGGTGATCCTGGCCAAGTTTTGCTTCATAGTTTTCATAGGAAACTTTTCATGTCAAGGGTGAGAGCTTGTCTCACCCAAATAGTTGCCATTTTCTTGAAACTTTGATAATAAACACGTATTTATATATATCTTCCCTTTTCCACATCGTGTTCTTCCTTATTCATGGAAAATAAGTAACAGAGCAGAGTACGAGTAAGTTTGTGGGTCTGAGACAGAGCTTAAAAGCCCTTTTTGATAATGTTGATTCGGAAAAACATTACCTCCCAAACTTGGCATTCATAAAGCTTCTCATTGCGATATCCAGAATACCACCTTACTCCAGTATTAGGAATTAGATATTAAACCCATGAAGAATCTTTTTCTCTGTACTTGTCAAAACGTATTTATGGGACCAAGGATGAGAGAATTTTGAATTGCACCTAACACGACTTGCAAAAAATAAACCAATCTTTTTTACCTTGCCCCATCTCTTAGGTCAAGAATTTCAATACTTGCAATGTGGTGCCAAAGTAAGGTTTCTCCCTTAGCTTGGATTGCGTGTCCGTTCCCAATGAATCTTAAACAAAAGTTATTTGAAGACTTAGTCGTCAACATGTGGGTCAAAAACACTTTTTGAAACCTTTTGTCAGACCATATACATTGAACCTGAGCATTTCCGATCGAACTACCTTGACTATCTTGGTCAAAACATTTTCTCGCATCGGAGCTCCATTGGAATAAAATTTCTCTTGGGGATTACCTAGTATGGATGCCTATCAGACCATATGAATCGGACCTAAGCGTTTTCAATTGGACTATCTTGACTGTCTTGGTCAAATCATTTTCACGTATCGAAGCTCCATTGGAATAAAATTCCTTTTGAGGATTGCCTAGTCTGGATGCCCCATTCGAAACTGCTGTCATTTGATGTTGTAGAACATACTTGACTTAGTATGTTGGTTTGGGATAGAAGTAATCATACTCAGAGTCAAAGTTCAGACCCACCCTCAGAAGATTTTCAGATTGCCTTTTCAACTATTCCCTTGAATGGCTTAGAGCCAAGGTTTAAATGTTATAACCCACAACCTTACTAGTTGTATAAACTTAGGCCGAATGATGCATTGGACTTCCAGGTTAGGATGCTATATGCCCATGCCTGTAGCCCGCCTATCATGATCGTGCTTATTACGGTTCAAGTCTAAGCTGCTAACCGATTAATACAGGATGTGCTAAGAGAGACTCCTCTAACACTGTTACTTTGAATTTTTAGACTTACAATCGTGCGAAGTTGTCAAAGTTCATGCTTTGTTCAAATGACTGAGGTATTCCTTGCATCACTAAAAAAAGAAAAGAAACAAACAAATATTGTACATAAGAAAATAGGATTGCTCAACACAGGCGTGTGATTGAATCTGGAATGATTGCCTACATATCTCTAGGAATGAGAATAATATCACTGGTGTAGTTCTAAAAAAAGATGATATAATGTAAGAACTACATCAGGGATCACTCTTGACTATGGTAGGGCTTTAGGAGATGAGTTCTCCATGGACTTATCTTCGCGCAAATAATGACATTATGATTGAGTTCTGATTGGACAACCTATATATCTAGAGAAGGAAATCAAACTGCATGTAGTTCAGATGGCTCGTTTAAGGGTAGTATCACTTAAGTTTAGTGATGTTCCACTTCTTGGTCATTGAGGTCCCATCCATGTGTTTTAGATGATAGGTTCCCTTGCCTTCTACTCCAGGGATTATATACGATCCTTCCCAATTTGCCCTGAGCTTGCCTTCTCCTAGGATTTTGGTATTTTCAAAGACATATCTTAGAACCAGATCCCCAACTTACAAACTCTTAGGTTTGACACCATTATTGTAGTATGATTGGATGTGTTACTGGTAAGCAACTAGTTAGACTTGAGCACATTATCGACGCTCTTCAACAAAGTCAAGGTTGAACTTAAGGATTCCCGCGTTCTCTAAGGTGGTCTATTATTCGGTATGCATATTTGGCATAGTCGTGACTTGGACTAGGATAACGGCCTTTGTTCCGTAAACCATGGAGAATGGTGTTCCCCTGTATCTTTTTAGATCGTTGTATGATATGCCTATTGTAATGACCCATAAATTTATATTTAGAAGCAAATACTAAAATAGACCCAAAATTTATTTCGGACGATAATCACCAAATTTCTTTTCTTAGACAATTCCTAAGAAAAGATTAAATCTCAGTTATTTTATTATGGTTGCATCTAACCTTCTTGTTAGACTGCCTACGTACCCTACTAAGGGATCAAGCCATTTGTAGTTCACATTACGCTTCTAGAACAACACACTAAAATTTCATTTCAATCCAACAGTTGGATCTCCGCCAATCACAACATTCGAGTGGTGATCGACGTTTTAATTTACTAACTTGCAAATCCAATTCAGAAATATCTGTACGTTGATTCTCGATCTGTAAGTTCCTAAGGTCCTCAAATATTACGTATTATAATGTACTAAAGTTTGGTGATGATCCAACAGTTGGATTGTCAATTCAAATTTTGACCAAGTAGTGTATCGTAGTGAATTTAGGTTCAAACAATCAAATTATGTCATACAAATATCAAATTTAAAATCAAGACATCTAATTTAGCTTAAAATAGCATCGTCGGCCCTTTGGTCACGCGCTGTGGTGGGTGGCGGTTGGCTGCCCCGACTCATAGGAAAATTTCAACTATTTCTAAAAATTACCAAATTTTACAGGCAAGTAGATCTCAATGAGAGGAGCAATTTTCATACCTGGGCTGAAGTCCAATTCGGTCAGGAAAAGCCTGAATTTTCCCACGGATGGGCGGAACCCTTGGTGTAGGTGTGCTTCGATTCGACCAGTACCGGTGCTCTGCCACCCTCAAACCTATTTGGGCTTTGTTCCTGACCTTTAAATGAGTGTTTTGGTGATGAAGATTGAGTGTATTTCATTCGGAATTCGCGGATTGCCACCATGAGTCCCATGGCGCCGTCGCCACTATACATCATGAAAAGGTCTCATTTGCATCGAATTTTTTGGGTGATCAACTGAGGAGGAGGGATGTGATGATGTTTGTAGGTGATGGGGAGTCATGATTCGCCAGAAATAATGTGAATATTGTCAAAATTGGCTTGGGGAGGTCCAGGTTCTCCTCGGGTCGAACGGGTCATAGGGATGAAAAGCATGGGTTTGGTGCGTCTCACTTCCCTCATTTCCCTCCCTGATCTCCCTTAATGATTGGATTCCCTCAATTCCCCCTTTTTCCTCTCTTCCTAATTGGTTCCCCATCTTTTTGCTTCCTCCCTTTTATTTTCTACCATAAGGCAATTTTCTTTCTTTATTTTTTTTATTTTTTCCACCAAAAACATATATTTAAATTTTCCAGGGTATTACACCTATAAGACTCTGGGCAGTTCTTTTGGCCACTTACCTTTCTTTTCAAGTTTCTTCTTTAGACATTGCAGGATAGTCTTGTTTGAGGCTTCCGCCTGCCCATTACTGTGTGGGTATCTTGGAGTGGAAGTGAGGTGACGGATTCCAAGTTCTTTGTACCAATTTGTGACCTCGGAACTACTGAACTGTATCCCATTGTCTATAAGTATTGTATGTGGGATTCCGAATCGGCAGATGATGTTCTTCTGGAAGAATGACTTGATAGAAACGTCGATGATTCTTGTCAAGGGCACTGCTTCTATCCATTTCGAGAAGTAGTCTGTTACCACTATTAGGCACTCTCTGTTTCCTTGAGCCTTCTTAAAGGGCCAACCAAGTCGATGCCCCATTGCATATTTTAGGTCTAAAAAGTTTGAAAGTAAAAATTCAATTGGGCATTTTTTTGCTGTTCCTAAAGCGTGTTTCAATTCAGATGCTGATGTTGTTCTAAGAATGTTGTATCTGGAAGAACCAAATTATTCCATTACACATGATTATAAGAATCCTAGGTTGTTCAATGTTAAGATTGGTTATTTGTTCTTGAATTTTAACATTTGTCTAATTCTTTATGCATGATATTGGTATCAGTAGTTTGGAATAGGGTGTTCAATGTTTCAACTTCATTTAACAAAGAAAAAGTTTATGTCTATGCTTGTTTGGTGGTTGGATTTTCAAGTCTCAAAGCCATTCAGACCAAGTTGCAGTTGGCAAGAAATAGATTTTAGATATGTATTTTTGCTAACCAGCCTTAAGTAGTGGTGATACTCACCATCTTATTGAGCATCGTTCAATGGGTTTGATTTAATTTATCTACTAAAGTTAAACTCATTTAATGTCATTAAAATAAATCTAACAAAAAATGCCACGTAAGTACTTAACAATTCTTCTAACTTAGGACTTAATGAAAGTTATATTTCCTATATGTCGAGTACTCATTTGAAATGTTTGAAAAAAAATTGAGAATAATTTGAAATCACACAAAAAGATTAGGAGTTTTGGGTACTTAATCCTTTTAAAAATACATGATTATATTTTTCTCTTTTTTTTTGTGGGTAAAATAAGGTGGTTAACCACCCAAACAAAACTAAGAAATATCATCAAAACAAACAAAACGAGTCTTGGAGATCCCTAAACAATCATCCATCAACACATCCCAATATACATAAGAGGATTATGAAAATTGCAAACCCTATATCCATATTATAACTCTAGCTAGCTAAATGATCAACAACAACAACAACAAAAAATCTTTGAAAATATGAACCAACTAATAACACTCAAACTGACCCATCATATTTCTGTAGTTGCTTAAAATTGTATCGTGAGGATAAAGATCATTTGCTATATATTGCTTAATCAAGTTGATAGCACCCACTGAATTCATTTCAATAATAAGTCTAGAGACATCTTTGTCCAAAACAAGCTTAAGATCAAAATACAACTCTAAATATCTATCTCAACAACATGTGCCTACCCTAAATAGCAGAAAATCCCCCCAACCAATCACCACAATGATCTCTAAGAACTTCACCAGTTCTAATTTGCCAGAAGTTATTCTTCTTGAACGAACCATCAACATTAAACTTGCATCATCCAATATCAAGAGGCTCCCAAGCAAGAAAGATTTGAATTCTAGTTAGCTTCACATAAGCTTTCAAGAAATCATTCACCCAATTAGAAGAAGCCATTTACTATAATAGCTTTATAATCCCTTCACATAAAAATAAGTATAAATTTTTTTTGATTTCTCCATTTTCAAATATGCCAAGTAAAGAGGAATAAAATGCACCAAGGCCTTTGATTGATCACCTTATTATGAACTTTAAGATTAGCAAGAAACTGAGCTTGAATGTTGAAATAAAAGAGTTTATCATATGACAAAACACACCAGGAAGCTCCCAAATACATTTAGCCTTCTGACAATCCCTGAGAATATGAAGAATAAAGTAAACAAGGTAAGAACAAAAACTGCATGAAGAATTAGAGATTAAGCACTTCCTAGTCCGCTATTCATTAGAGAGCAACTTACCTTTACTGATAAACCAAAAGAAACTTTTCAACTTACCCATTAAATAAGTGACCATTAGTAGACTTGGTAGAGAAAACACCATTTGAAGTACATTTCTAAATAAGTTTGTCTCATCCCGCACCAAGGCTACCACGAGGGCAACTAATGATTTTCTGCACCATATACTTAGATAGCACACTTCTAAGCTTTGACAAACCCCACCAACCATCTTGAGAAAATTCAGAAACTGTGCAATTAGAATTTTAAAACAACACCATAATCAATAGTATCAATCAATGGAACATCCATTATCCAAGCATCCTTTTAACATTTCACAGACTCTCCATTATCGATTTTTCACTTCATCCCTTTATTCAAAAGATCAGTACCACATAAAACTTATTTCCAAGTATAAGAACAATTAACCTCTCAAGGATTTTGGGTCCAAAACATAAGTTCATTTGAGATAGTTCGCCTTCAAACCCAAAGGCCTTAATCTTAAGCATGAATTCTCTAACTAGTCTTTGCTAATAAAACTTGATTCTTCTAAGAAGTCATCAATAATGTGCTATTGGCACAAATAATGTCACCATTCTTGTTCAATTTCTCAAGATCTTCACATATACTTATAGACAATTTAGTGGTCTACATAGTATAGAAAGAGATGACAGATGTAACGACTTGAATTAAAGTGGCCCTTCCAACCACATACATAATCTTACTATTTCAGGAAGCTAATTTCTTATGAACATTTTAACCATGCATGCAGCCTGTGAATGTAGGCTTTGTAACTCAACGTTGAATTAGAGGCATTCCCAAGTAATTTTCAATGTTACTTGAAAGGAGAGAACCACAAATAATACAAATGTTATAATCACATCTATAGAACTATTAGGAGAACAATGCAGTACTGATTTTCAAAATTAACAGCTTGCCCTAAAACTTTACAAAACTTTCAAAACAGTTATTCATCAATCGAGCATGTTTTGGAGTTGCATAAAATAAAAAACATAAGATCATCTGCAAAAAATAGATACGAAATACCAAACCCAGATTGAGAAGCCTTAACTGGTTTCCGCCATCCCTTATTAACAACATCAATAAAATATGTGACAACTTCTCATTACATAAAACATAAAGATAAGGCGATAGCAGATCTCTGCCCTGATACCATTTTTAAGAGAAAACTCTTCAATCAACTCAGCATTAAAACAAATTTGATATTGGACTATAGAAAAACACTTAATTATAAGTTAAACCAAACCCATAGGCAAACCAATCTCCACAAAAACATATTCAATAAAATCTTAATTAAACAATCATAAGCTTTTGAGAGATTGATTTTCCATGCCAAGAACCTTTTTTTGTCTTTGGAATTCTTGAATTGGTAGAGAATCTCCTGAGCACAAGAATATTGTCAGTAATATGTCTTCTAGGGACAATATTGCAATTAGGGATAACTAAATTAGGCAAAAATTGTCTAAGACCAGCCACAATGACTTTTGAGATAACTTTATAAACGGTGCAACAAAGACTAATAGGCCTAAAATTCATCTTCCTAGAGTTCTCATTTTTTGGAATCAAAGTAATCAATATATTGTTCAGTCCTTGAGGCAACTCCATAAATCGAAAAGCATTGACCACCATTTAAAAAATATCATCAGAACACTGAGCCTACTTATTTTGGTAAAAGCAAGCCGGAAAGCCATCCACACTTGGAGCTTTGAGGTCTCCAATGTTGAACAGACTAGTCTTTATTTTTCCACAACTATTTTACAGAGGTTTTCGTTCATAAAAATGTCCATGCTAGGAAACGAGTTAGGAAAAGCAGACATTTGACTAGAATTTTTTCGCATGTGGAAACAAATTCTGGAAGTAGCCCACAACAATCCTTTAAAGCTTAGCAAAATCCACAACCCACGCACCTTGATCATTCATTAGCCCCTTAACTCTATTTCTTTGCCTTCTTATAATAGTTGTCAGATGAAAGAACTTTGTATTGCAAGTCACCTTCCTATAGTCATTTCAATCTAAACTCTTGATGCCAAAAAAAGCCTCTTGATGAAAACTTAATAGTCGGTTTACGTTTTATTTATATTAGCAATGCTTGATTGCTTAGGATTGAAGAAGAGCTCATCCTTAATTCACTTAAGAGCTGATTTTCAAAATTTCGTATTTATAGTTGGAATAGTTCATTTTATTAGTCTCTTTGTAAATATTATCTATACAAAAGATCAATTAAAATTCAGGTTGTTTAGTCAATCAACTGTAGCAAACAGTTCTTAATACTGTTACCAAATTCGCCTATTTATTTTTATACAGTTCCATTACTAAATGATTTCATATTTGTTTTGTAATACAAACAGTTTTGATTATCAATGTAAAATTTCGTAAATTAACGAATTGAGGAGCTAAGTTATAGGGCTGGGTTCGGTTTGAAACGGTTCGGTTTTTTTGCCAAAACCGAAACTGAACCGAATTTTCGGTTCAGTTCGATTCGGTTCAAAAAAATTTTGGTTTTTTTCGGCTCGGTTTCGGTTTATTTTCGGTTTTTTTCCATGATTTTTTTTTTTAATTTGGAAGAAATCTGCAACGATTGAGCAATGGAGATGCAGAAACTTCTGCATCAAATGAATACGAACTGGGACGATCGGCCATGGATCTGACATTATTGGGTGTCGGTGTGTATTTCTTGTTGTGGATCTGAGAGCTCTCGCAGAGAAAATGCATGCATGTGTTAAATCTTTTGATTTTTCCATGAAAATAAACCCAATAGAACTAAATAGCAATCATGAGAGTTTTTTACCTTGGGGGTTTATTTTTAGTCCCAAAGCTCTCGCCAGCCATGGAACACTTATGCATCTGCTGCCAAATTGGAAGATTAAAAGAAAAACTTATGCATCTGCTGCCAACATGCAAAACCCCAACAAAATAATTAAAAGAAAAAACCCAAAAAACACGCAGAAACAACAAAAAAATAATTAAAAGGAAATCTGCAACAACAACAAAATAATTAAAAGGAAATATGCAACAACAATCATGGTTTGGAAGAAGGAATCCGCGAGGAGGACAGGAGAATATTGGAGAGAGTTATTTGGAGGAAGAGATGAAGGGGAGAGAGAGAGAGAAAGAGATTGAGGAAGCAAAGGAAGAGACTCAGGGAGGAAGCAGCGGAGGGAGAGAGAGAGTTTGAGAAAACGTGAAAAACTGAAATGGGAATGTGAATGACGGCTAGGGTTTGTAAGTTAAGAAATTTTATAAAGCGTATAACTATTAGAAACCTATAAATCAATTACCGGTACAATTATAACATAACAAAGCTGACAGTCAAGTTGGCTTGAAATGACTATCCAACCTGAGGTCAAGGGTTCAAACCCTGATGCCAACATATTTTTTCATTATTTATATATGAATTTTTTTTTCGGTTCGGTCCGGTTCAGTTTCCGGACCTCAAAAACCGAAACCGAACTGGCCATATTCGGTTCAGTTCGATTTTGGCAGTTTCGGTTCGATTTTTTTCGGCTTCGGTTCGGTGCGGTTTTCGGTTTTTTGAACCCACTCCTACTAAGTTATTATTATTATTATTTTTTTTTTTTGGCAAATCTTCCATTAGTAAGCGTGTGGGGGAAAAAAATATATATTTTAAGCAAGTCGCATATTTGGCCCAATAGCTCGGCTGCCCATCGAATCCAATTCATCTTTTATCTCATATGAATTTCTTGTGTTTCTTCTGATCAGTTGTAAGTATTTCTGCTTCTTCGATTATCTGAATCTTCAATAACAATCGGCTTCATCTTCCGCACCGGGTAATTTCAGTTCTTCAATTTCGTTGTTTAGGGTTTAGTCTGTGTTGTTTCTGTGCCGAGATTGTATGATATTTACTTTTCCCAATAATATTGTGTCGCGATTGTATGATAATTTAATTACCCTTCACTTGTGTTCTTCCTTTATTGTTTTTAAGAAGTTGTTACTTGTGTTCTTCCTTTATTGTTTTTAAGAAGTTGTTTGTTACTCTATTGGTAGGAAGCATTGTTGAGTATTCTACTTGTAATGGGTTTCTTTTCTGCTTAATTTTATGACATTTTGTGAATGCTGATTGGTCTTTGTATGCTACCATGTCATATCGTAGAATGTTTTTCTTTTCAATTTAATTTCTGCATTTAATGGACTTTGTTATTTGAATGGATGCGCTGTAAACCCAGGTTTGGACTAACATGGATTTGTGATTTAAGATGAACTTCTTGTTCAAATTATAAAGATAGAAAGATAATAAATTAAATATTTAGTTTGTGTTGTTTCTGTGCCGGGATCGGTTGAGATTTACTCTTTCTTCCTCATCTAATCTGGGTTTCATTTTCCCAGCTCTTGTGAATCATATGCATTTTATTATCCGCTTAATCCAACGAAAGCCAATGAAAGCTCTCTGATTTTCCCGTCTCTAATTTTAATGAATTTTGTGCATATTAGTATGATACCAGTAGTAATACAGCTACTTGAAGTCTTTTTGATCATTTGCTAGAATGTGAATTGTTTTTCTGTTTTTTAAAACAAGTCTTTGTTTTTTCTTTATTTTATTTTATCCATTTGAAAGAAAATATTGAGATTTTTCAAAAGGGTTAATGATGTTATGGTGGCAGTTGTTACCAGAAAATTAAAAGTAAGATGGGGCGTTTTCCGAACACAAGTGATAAAGAGGTCTTCTTTGGATAGGAATAATTGCACTATCATTTAGACACAGATTGACAATGTCTTCATTTCTTAAGCCCACCCTGTAGAGATATAAAAATAGCATACTTGCTTTCCCAAAAGATGGTTTCTCTTTCTAATTTTCTATACGCAGTCATATTTGAATTTAATGATAATTATTAACATTGATTTTAAATTATTCTTAGATTCTCTATTGGAGTTTGCTTTGTATATTTGTTGAAGAAGGGATTGAATTTCGTTTGGAGGAAACGGGGAGCCTCTAAGAGGAGGATAAATAAGGAAGTCAGAAGTATTGAGCTGTAGTGTATTTGCGTGGAAATTGCTGTGTTTATAAAATAGTTTTTTGACCCTTATATCCAGAGTTTGGAAAAGAGATGCCTTGTTGCTGTATTCACCTTGCTTGTAGTGTACAAAACCTTTGTTTGCTGCTTATGCGTTTGCATATTTGGACAAACTGGTTGATATGTCGGTATGTCATATATCAAAGTATATGTACACGAGGATGAATCGTTGATCTGTCTGTAAAATAGTTGTGATTAGTTTAAACTTTGGCTTCTGTTGTTACTCTTATTATTGGTAGGACTCTGATTCCATGATCTAATTACTCTATTCTTGCTATTCAATCATAGATCTGTATGCGCAATAGCATGTATTCATTTCATGTAGTTAATGGTGTACTAACCATGCTTGATAGCTTGGAGCATAAAATTGGAGGTATTTAACAGATTTGGAGGCATAAAAGAAAGCTGCTACTAACTTAATCTTTTCCTTGTTGAGTCCTCCTTGGGTTGTCTGAATAGTGTGGCATGTCTTACGTTTTGACGATAAGACTGGAAGACATGTAACACATTGTTGTGTGTCAAACATCACAAAAGGAAGCAGTGTTGACGATCTTCCTTTTATTTGTTATCTTTTCTGTTTAATTTTTTGAGATTTGTGCCTTTCCCCCTATCCTTTAAAGCTGATACCCAAACCTACTCATCTGCTTTCTTGTCCCTTTAATGAATGCTGATCGGTCTTTGTATGTTACCATCGTATCGTAAAATGTTTCCCTTTTGAATTTAGTTTCTGCATCTAATGGACTTTGTTATTTGAATGTATGCTGTGTAAACCCCGGTTTGAAGGGACGTAATATTTGAGATTTAACACGAAATTCTTATTCAAAGTTTAAAGATAAATTTTTTTCTCTCTTTCATCATGCTGAGTATAAATTGATAAGTAACCAATATATCTATCTTAGTTATCTGCATTTATGCAAATTATTAGCTTCCCTCATCAGTTTCCCAACATTTTGACTATATTCATTAGGAAGTACGAGCCTCAAAATGGACAGCATTGTAGATTCTCTAAATAGTGCATACCAAGAGTTTGTTGTTGCAGCAGCTAATGTGCTTGAATCCAAGGAAACTTCTGGTGGTCAGAAAACAGCAGCCACAGATGCTGCTCTTGAGAATTTTAAGCAGAAGTGGGAACTTTTCAGAGTCACTTGTGATCAAGCGGAGGAGTTTGTGGAGTCCGTGAAGCAAAGAATTGGATCAGAGTGCCTGGTGGATGAGGCAACTGGTTTGGTGGCTGGGAAGACTGGGCAAACTGCAACTGGTCTGCCACCCATTAGTGCGGTTCGGTTGGAACAGATGAGTAAAGCAGTTCGATGGCTGGTTATAGAACTTCAACATGGCTCTGGAACTGCTGCTGGTGCAGCACATTCTCATCCTTCAACTCCTTTTGATAGTAGATTCTCTGAAGATTCAGCTCAATAGGTATGAAGGTGATTTGATTTCTTACTCTGTATTGAGAGAAGATGATAGGATTGATTGGATGCATTTTTCCTACTAAAATATCGACCATCTCTTCCAAATGATTTTGAATGTAGTTTTAGGATTTGCTACTTCCTTATCCTTGTGCAGTTAGGTTGTACCGTATTGCTTTAGCAATAAACTTAGTACTTCAGGAAAGGTGGGGAAAACACAAGACTTGGTCGTTGAAAGTTATGCATCTCCGATGGGCATACATTAGCTCACCTGTATCATCATGATGTTGTGTCCCGTTTTTCTCTGTAAACATGTAGCATGCAATGAGTCTCTGAAGTAGGTGCCACACTTATTATTTTGTTGGTGGCTGCTGTAGATCTATATCTATATGTACACAACCTGAAAAGTGTTATTGCTAAATGAATCTGTTGTATATTTTGTATTTCAAATTCTAAAATTCTTTCGTCAAAGACAAGTGTTGGGTGTTTGATTTCGAACGGAAAGTCGAATATATATATCTAGTGATTTTGTTTGAGTCAGGCTACTGCTTTATTTATAGCAATTTTGCCCTTTATGTCATTTGTTTTCCTTGTAATTTTTGTGGGTCTAGCTACATGGAGATTTGTTTCATCAGTAGGGGCTTCGGGGATTCAAATGCGTATTTTATTATGGGCCATTTTATTACTTAAAACAATTTTAAGAAAAAAAAAAATACCACATACCACGTTTTTAGTTCACGTACTAATTGAATCAACAAAATTATTTAATAAGAAAACATTGCAATTTGCATAATTGCCATATCCTACCCTCTCTTTAGACGACCAGCCAGCGAGATTTTACGGCGGCAACCGGACGACAGGATTTTTCAGTGACAATGATCAGCCGATGGGATGATCCGGCAACCAGTGACTTCATTCTCTCATATGATTAAAAATATTATACAATTGCCATCGATGGGGTTGAACTCCAAACCTCATGGTGAAGATCAACTTGTACCCCTACATCACATAACAACTTGTTTTGGGTTGAACCCCAAAACAAACATTGTTTGTAAAATATTGTCTACTCAACGAAATTCCTTGGTAGAAGACAGCATCGATGACTCAAGCAGTGAAGGTGACATTGAGAGGGACACGAAGGAAGCACATGAGTATAGCACGCTAGTACAAAAAACACTTCGTTGCGTGCCAATGTCGGACCAAGGCAGTGACAGTAGGGTTTGCGCGACGCATGTTACTTCCCTATCACGCAAAACTGCTTTGCGCAAAGCAAGTTTCTATGTCGCGCAAACCCTTGTTTTTTTTTTGGCAAAAATACTTTTTATTTAAATTTTTATAAATATTGTAATTAAATTATAAATAATAATTAATAAACCAAGAAAAAGTATTTAATTATAAAATATATGAAAATGTATATACAAGATGTCCGAACAAAAAAGAAAAAACTACAACAAGTAGTCATCTATGTTTGGCTACTGGGTATTGAATGGGCAAAGTGGTTGGGAGGTTGAAAGTGGAGCAAGATCAGGTGCTGGCATCGAGATTTGAAGGCCGGACATCTGTAAAGCTTGTAAGATCATACTCATCTTATCATTCTGGGCCGATAACTGGGCTGCAATCTCGGCTTCCCAGGCTGCTTCTTGGGCCGCAAGCTAACCTTTTAGGGTTGCCACTTCCTTCGTCAGTGCTGACCTGTCCTATTGTCGATCTGGAAGAGGAGGCACCCGTCTCACGAACCCGCGCCTTCCCCATACATCGAAAAAACTTAATTTAGCACATGTAAATCAGACCCTACTCCAACGTCAAATTTAGGAAAATAAATAGATGATAAAGAATGAATTATGATCCAAACTGTCAAGTCTCTACTCTTCCCATATACATTTTGTCCATATAATTTCCGTCACTTTATCCGAGGCGTGCATCAAGTACAGATAATTCATAAATCAATGATTTTAAACCAAAGTGAGGAAATAAAGTGCATGTGTTTCCACTATAACAAGAAAACAGCTCAATGAAAAATACGGACATTGATGATAAAATGTAGTATAAATAGAGCATGTATAATAAGTTAATAACTGATTGCAAACAGGAAAAAAATTATGACTTACATGGGTACCGTCACGACCATCTAAGGGAGAGTCATTGACACCAAAAGTCATGGACACAGTTGATCACCTAAACCGTCATCACATAACAATAGCACCACAGAAGGTTCCACATTGCGGAGAGTTTTTTGGTTTTTGAATCTCAAAATGGTATATCATATGGTCCAGCAGTAAGCTCCAAAGGCACAAGTGCAAATGAATTATGCAACTACCACGTTTTCACTAGCTACTTTCTAAGTGTCATCAACACCAATAGTTTTAGTTACACACACACACACATGAAATGGAAATCCTACGATAGGGTTTAATATAAATTGAGGTAGAACTGATCACATTTGGAGAAACTTGAACCACTAAAAACTATTATGCATTTAATACAAACACTGCATTCACAAATGAGAAAGCACACAAGTGTAGTGTAATGTACTAAAGAATTACTTGTAGAGTTTTCCAAAAGTGTCTCTCAAGCGAGCAACATCAGCACCAACAACTTCAGCCACCTTCTTCCCATCTTGAAAGAGATGGAATTTAGGCTGCACCAGAGTACACACATCAAATTACGAACCAAATGGATCTTGGATTTTACCATATCCAAGTAAAAACATATAGAATTACTAAGAAGCAAAACCAGTAATAATCCATTCAAAAGACCATCTTAAAAGATCATCCCACGAGTGCCATGAATAAAAGAAGCTATATACGAAGAACAAAATAAATTGGAGCATTTTCTTTCAAACATAATAAGAGCAATCATTTACCACAGCAGAAATATTCGACTTGCTCTGTAAGTCCTTCCTGTATATAGAATAAACAAGGTTAGGTATTAATTTCTTTTTGTAAATTCTGATCTGTTTTCAAACCAAAGAGCAAGTGCTCTTATACACAAAGTGTGACTACTGCTAGCTGGCACTTCTAACAAATTCCCCTAATAACAAGTAAAACCCTCAATTACAACTAACTTGACTCTTAATTTGTGATTAAGATAATCACAATCCTAAGTTCATAACATTGCCCTTCCCTTGAAGAACAACCTTGTCCTCAAGGATAGGATTAGAACATGAAATCTGGAACTGTTTGCAGTGAAGTTCAACAAAGGAGTCTTGCAACCGAAGTGTGAATTTGTTGTTCTTGGAAGGAATGTGAGAATTTTGCTAAGTCAATACTGCTTGTGAGGAGACTTTCTGCACTAGACCTTCCTTTGTGCTCACTAGCAAGGTGGTGGAAGGCTCAACTTTGGGAGCTAAGGAAGAAGCATAAGACCACCAATTATGAAGCATAAAAACTTGCAGCAACACACTTGTGAAAGGACATGTTTTCAATTCAATTGTTATGTTTCCAAAATCTGAGTGATGGATGAATGGTTGGTAACTTTTTGCCCACGAGGATTGCACCAACGGTATCTTCTTGTAGTCCATACTTCCAGAGACCAGGTGCTTGCTGTTACAAACTGTGAGAATGCTTCCCTGGACAAGAACAAGACCTTGGATTAGTGCCTCCACAACATCCAAATCCAGATGATTGGAGGGCCCACCAAGCAGTATTCTGTGCAGTTTCATGGTAGTTATCTTGGCAAACGCATCTCTGCTCCTCTGACCACCATACAACATGTACCTAGGCTGGAGTGCTAGATTCCCAGTGACACCAAAAGAACCCACGTGAGGTTGGAGATTTTGTTCAGGCATTCCTGGGAAGCAGCGCATCATATACAATAAGGGATTAGAAGATGATTCTAACCCGTCAATGCGGTGCTGACTGAACACAGCGATCTAAACCGTAGCCAAATGGAAAACTGTCCCAGAAATTGGTTGTAGCTCTCTTGCAATTAGTTGGAGTATCGTTGATTGACCAATACCATTTGGCCCAAACCATGTGATGCGGCTGTCAAGGTCAATTCCAAAATTTAAATTCCTAAACAAAACGGGTTCGCATGTTGCATCACTGAAACTTATTGTAGGAGGACCAAGTTTGTCATCGGAAATCGGGAACTCCAATTTATAGTCAGGGTCATTTACAATCTCATCCACATGTCCCAACCAGTCCAAAGCCTTAATTCTTGACAAAGCTGATAGATTGGTAGCTTCCCACAAATAAACTGTGCTTGCAAGAGCTATTACAAGGTTATTGCAGCTTCCCCAAACCAAAAAATTGAGGTAGTAATCATCTACTAGGTGTGGAGCATCCACTGTCTTCTCTGAAGGTTGAGGAATGTGTCTTTGGGGCTCTGCTGGTTTATCCTGTTTCAGAGAAGAGAACTCACGCAAGATCATCTCAATAGGGCCTTTCCTACCTTTAAATAGCATCATGTTTGCAAAATCAAAATCCATTGCGGACCTGCTTAGTATGAACCTGTCCAACTCTATACTAGCATATGTGAAACCATATTCAAGCAAGATAGTCTTCCATTGAGACAAAATAGTTGTTGACATAAGATGACCCAAAGCTTTAACCCTGTCATTCACCTTCCTCAGTGAATTACAAGAAGTTGGTAAGTAGGTGTACAAGGTTACCACCTGAGAGTTCGTAGTAATACATAGGTGTCTGCCATCTACTATCCTGGAATCCACCAAATATGTAGCACAACTGCAACAATCATTTACATCCACAACTCCCCATTTGCCTAGCAGCATTTTGCAATTTCTCTTCCATAACCAATTCTTCCACCATTGTAAAGCATTAAAGCAATAATTCTTTTGTTAGTGAAGAGGTGATTTTTCAAATGCTTCTCAGATTCAGCTTCGTTTACAAATGACATGACAATAAAATCAACTCCTTGAGAGATTCTGAATTCAATGTTAGACCGATCCTTAGTAGACAGAGTTGGGAGCTCATAGTTCCTTTTTACAAGCTTCATATCTCTCCAAAACCTGAATTTGGCTCGAAGCAGGAATAGACCAGGGTGTGTGCACTTACAACGCATGCCGCTTCCTAATTTTTCAAGGACTTCAAAGTGTGCCATTACACCATCAATAACAAGTTCATCACCCTTTCTGATACAACCAGAAAAACCTTCATAGTTTGTTTGTCCTTCGGTATTGTTCATAACCGATACCACTCCCTTCTCATTCAGCCGTTTGATCTTCCAAAGGACATCGTCATGCCACTCCCTCGTTTTGTGATACATATTGTGCCCTGCCACATTCCTCAAATAAAGCACTTCCAAAGTGTTTTGTGATCTCAGAAGTGAACCAATAAAGGACTGGCGACCACCTGAAGTATCAAAAACAATTTCACGGATAACAGTAGCTTTCTCATATTGTAGCACTTGCAGTAGACAAGAAAAATGCACTGCATGATTGATGAAGTCAAGCTGTAGGATAAAAATTTGAGAGTACTTGTCACAACGGTTCTCCTGGTGCTTGGAACAGAGTATCACCCCTAGAATTTTAACTAATCTGCCTCCTGGATCCCATCCATTCCAGAATTCACCCCTAGTTATGAAAAATTGAGAGCATACAACCTTGTTATGAAAAAGAGCGGTCATTCGATCGAAGAGGTTTCCTGCAGCATCCTTGCTTTGTCTCTTAGCTATTTCATCAAACACTTTCTCTGCATTCAAAACCATCATCAATTTGCCAACCTCATACATGCTGACCCACCCATTAATCTCATTCACATAAACATCATTCGTGACCATCTTGCCATCAGTATAACATGCAAGGAAACCATGGAAAAACCAATGCCACATGGCCTTCCGATTTTTAAACTTGTACATCAAAGATCTCAATACCTGATGTCTACGTTTGGTGGTGTTTGTATTCGTTGACGGCTACTTGCAGAGGCGAAGAATCTGTAATTTGACGCTTCTGTGGTCTCCATAACCCTTAATGTTGATGTTATCACTGGCGTCATGTAGTAACCATTGAAAGGGGCCTAAAGCTTTGGCTCTTTCATTACTAAGAGTTAAACCCAGACCCTGCACACTTGTTGGAGCTTCCTGATTGCTCAAAAATGGTTTGCTATTGTTGGTGTGGGCTGCCATTGAAGCTTTCGAGTTCGACTGTGGCTTGATCGACGGAGCTGCAATTTCTCGCAACACTGGTGATGACGAAAACAACGGCGGAATGGAATGGACTTCGATTGGCGATAGAAGTCTCAGCGGATTGTCGTCTCCTTGAAGTCCGGGATGATCGAGATTGATTGATTTCATGTCATTGGAAATCGTCGGGGTTGGATCAGAAACTCCCCCATTGCTGATAGCGAACATAGGGGTTAGGGTGGAGTCTCCTTCAGCGTTGAGAGCCAACTCACGAGCATGGCGGATCTTAGCAAGGTAGGGTGCGAATAAAGCATCCAAGGTCTTGCGAAGTGAATCCTTGTTCGCAGCAACCATGGCACAAAACGTAGGTGGGTGTGTGTGCATAGGAGGGAAACCAAGATTCGAGAAGGATGATACCATTGATACGATCCAATTCTCAATTCCCTTAATCAACCTGCAAGTAGCACAAGAAAGCTATGGAAGAAGAGGGAAGGAGAGAAGAAGGAGCAGAGCTCCAAATATTTTTGTGTTTAATTTCTTTTTGTAAATTCTGATCTGTTTTCAAACCAAAGAGCAAGTGCTCTTATACACAAAGTATGACTACTGCCAGCTAGCACTTCTAACAAATTCCCTTGATAACAAGTAAAACCCTCAATTACAACTAACTTGACTCTTAATTTGTTATTAAGATAATCACAATCCTAAGTTCATAAAATTGAGGAGCCTGAAATTCAAGTTAATCAAGAATTCAATTTAATGAGCTATTAAAACTTTGAACAATGGCTGAAACAATAACAAAAATACGGAGTACCTGAGGGCGAGGAGCTAGGTCGGAGCTGCAGAAAGTGAAGGTTTGGGGAGTGGTGGAGGGAATTAGAGGTGGAAGGGGTTGCTGTGGGAGGCGAAGGTGGTGAGGTGGGGATTGAAGAAGCCAGGGTTTGGAAAGAACTGGAAGGAAGGCTGTGACGATGAAGAAGCGCAGTGCAAAACTTGCTGCTATTGCAGTGCCATGGCTGCACCTGAATTCCTTGCCATTTTTGTCTCTCGCATTAGTTCTTTATGTATCAAGCAAAACCCTAACTGTAAATTCAAAATCCAAAACCCTAGTTTATAAAACGCAAAAAAAAAAAAAAAAATTCAACAAATTGTCTTACCTTAAGATTGGAGTGGCGAAGTGAGCACTTAACAGCTAGTGGTGGAGGACGCGACTAGAAGGGGGAAAACAATGGTGATTGGCGACTTGGTGAGCGGTGACTAGTGAGAGGCCGTGCAAGAGAGCTTGGGGAGGTGGAAGGAGAGGACGACACACCTGGTTTTTAGGGTTTCGTTCGGCCTTTGCGATTCTGCGATAAAGACAGAGACCGAGTGAGAGAGAAGGGAAGAGAGACCGACTGTTTTCCAATTGCATGGTTTGCACCTACATTTTGGACCTCCATTTTGTCCAAAGTCATTGACTTTGCGTGACAAACGCAAAACTCTTTTACGCGTCGAACGTGCCCTACGTCGCGCAAAGCTATTTTGTGCCATTCCTCGCGCAAGATTTTGGGAAAATTTAAACAAAAAGCGTATTTTTTACAGTTAAACTGCCAAAATTTTAACACATTGCACGACGCATGTATACATTAAGACGTCGCACAAAGTTGGTTTGCGCAATGACACATCGTGGTGTAGCGCAAGTTATATATTTAAAAAAATTTATTATAAAATTTACTGAAAATGTGACTTTAGTCCCTTCAAATTCAATTTCTTTTTTTACATAAAACCCACAATAATATATTTTTCTAACAAAAACTCAATCTGAACTACAATAATAAATTTAAAGCTACTTAATAAATATACATACCATTCAATTTCTTAAGTGTTATACTTACAAAATAAATAAATTTAAAGCTACTTAATAAATAAATAAATACACACACACACACACATACCATTCAACTCGTTGGAATACACATTCTACGAAACTAGTTTCAACGATCGAACCGTTAAAATTGTTTGCTTATGCTTTGAAATCACATACGCCAAAAATTACAAAAAATAAACATTCAGAGATCAAGTAATGGGACAAAACTTTTTCGACGGTTATAAACGAAAAATCACGATTTAACGGTAGTTTGAACTCTGATTTTGATGATTTTTTATACCTACACTCTTTGATCCTATATGAATACAATGAATGAATTCGATCTTTAATTTCAAATATTTACACAAGTGGATACCACAAAATCTTATGTTATACTTAATGAAAGTATAAATAAACTCCAAGTATTAGTGAATTTATTGTTTTGATGGGAGACGCATTGTACGAAACTAGTTTCAACGATCCAACCATCAAACTTGTTTGTATATACTTCGAGATTGCATACGCCAAAAAATTGCAAAAGACAAACATTCAGAGATCAAATAACGGGACAAAACTTTTCAACGGTTATAAATGAAAAATCACTATTTAACGGTAGTTTTAACTCCGATTTTGATGATTTTTTATAACTACACTCCTTGATCCTATATGAATACAATGAACTAATTCGATCATAAATTTAAAATATTTACACAAGTGGATACAATAAAATCTTATGTTATACTTAATGAAAGTATAAATACACTCCTAGTGTTGATGAATCTATTGTTTTGATGGGATACGCATTGTACAAAACTAGTTTCAATGATCTAACTGTCAAATTTGTTTGTATATACTTCGAGATCGCATATGCCAAAAATCGCAAAAAAAAAAGCATTCAGAGATCAAGTAAAGGGACAAAACTTTTCGACGGTTATAAACGAAAAATTATGATTTAACGGTAGTTTTAACTCCGATTTTGATGATTTTTTTTATAGCTACACTCTTTGATCCTATATGAATACAATGAACTGATTTAATCGTAAATTTAAAATATTTACACAAGTGGATACAACAAAATCTTATGTTATATTTAATGAAAGTATAAATAAACTGCAAGTGTTAGTGAATCTATTGTTTTGATGTGATACGCATTGTATGAAATTAGTTTCATCGATTTAACTGTCAAATTTTGGTATATACTTCGAGATCGCATACGCCAAAAATCATAAAAAACAAGCATTCTGAGATCAAGTAACGGGAGAAAACTTTTCAATGATTATAAACGAAAAATCACGATTTAACGGTAGTTTTAACTCCGATTTTGATGATATTTTTTATAGCTACACTCCTTGATCATATATGAATACAATGAACTGGTTTGATCGTCAATTTAAAATATTTACACAAGTGGATACAACAAAATCTTATGTCATACTTAATGAAAGTATAAATAAACTTCTAGTGTTAGTAAATCTGTTGATCCAACCGCCAGTATTATTCATATAAACTATGAGATCGTGTATGCCAAAAATTACACAGAAAAAATATTTCTACGATAGGTAGTGTAATGAAATTATTCAACGGTTACAAACTTAAATTTAATTTTCAACGGTCATTGTATCTCCTTTCCCATTTTCTACCAAAACAATAACTGAGTCCAAAATAATACAATGAACGGACCCGATCATGAAATAAAATAAAGTTTGTGGGGTTGGTTTTGGTCGGAATTGAGATGGGGGGGGGGGGTGGTGGTTCCTTCTCAGAGGTGAAGGAACTTAAGTAAAATTACAAAATTACGCTTCCTCAATTTTATTATTACCATTAAGCCCTCAAGTTTCGATTCAAATTTCGCTTTCAACTTTATATTCATGTACGTGAATATAGTTAGGAAAACCCAAGATAATTGCAAGGAACTAGTCTTCTTGTCAAGGCTCGGAAATTATGACACACATACAAGGACAAAATAGTCATTTCACATGTCTCAGGAATAAAATACATTATTTTAAAGAACGGGATGTAACATCACTGCACATGTTTGTCTTTTTATCATCAGTTTAGAACATCTGCTTTTATTTTTTTTATTTATTATCTTTTGCTTTCCAGCAGGCTATGCCCATTCTTAAAAATCTAGAGAAGGAACTAAAACGTGACCCCTAGAAAAAAGTTGTATGATGGGCCATGTAGCAAATATTTTGGTTATACATTCGAGTTAAATGCAAATGTTTAGATGTTCGATGAGGTTTGCTTCAGAATGTGATTTCTGAAATGAATGCTTCCAGTATGTTCATGCATGCATGTAATATGGATGATTCTGGAATTGATATACTTGTTTTATCTCTTGCATTAAGTGTTTCTGTTTTGTGATTATTTAGGTTTTCCTGGAGCGTGAAATCTTAATACTCAAAACCTTGATAGATGGTATCTTGCCCAAGAGACATATCTGAGAATCGCCAATCAAGAGAATGGTGAAATAGAGTTTGGTGACAGTAAGGTAGATCATTTCGATGTGGGTTTTTGTTTTTCAGCCATACTTTGCTTTGTTTTTGTTTTTTCAGCCATTCATGGATTATTTCTGGTCCTGATAACGAGGGTTTTAGTGACAGTGAGGTGGATTGGGAGTTTAAGTAATGAATTGGTACTGAGGTGCTTTTATAAAAAGTGAGTATAAAAAAAATGTGAGCTCAAAATGGTGTTTGGTAAACACTTAAAAACAACTTATTTTCATAGTTTTGGATGAAAAAAGCTGAAAATGTGAAGCAACAAAAATGAACTTATTCTCACAGCACAACTTAAGCAGTTTTTGATTTTTTTTTCAAAACACATATACCAAACCAACTGACACACCCCGACCGAGGTCAAGGCATGCTGGCCGTCACGTGAGAGTGACGTAGCCATGTGCACAGTGTGGAAGCGATAAAGGTAGCAAATATACAAATAATTAAAAAAATCACATTAATATAGTGCACTACTAGCAGGGAGTGTTAGGAGTTAGTTACAACCGTAAACACTCCTAATAAGAGCATAAAAAGTCTAGGTGCAGTCTAGTAGGACAAGTACTAGTTACACAATACCAGAAATGTCCTACTATTATTCAATAAGTCAGAACTATTGACGAACCCGAGCCACCAATAGCAAGCTTACTTAGAACCTAGAGGGGCGCAAAACAGAAAACGTGAGTGGGCAAAAACAAATGTTTTACAAAATCATTTCATTTATCAATATACTAACCCCTCGCTGTAAAACATGTATTATTTTCCCAGAATCAAGATATAAGCATATACATATACATACATATATATATATATATATATCTGAAATCATATCAATTCAGTTCATGCTTCACATAATCATATTCATATGTATGTCATGCCAAAATGTAACAAAGTAAACAATCCAGGTAATAATAATTTCAGAGAAATATGATATGTTAGTCGGAACTTCTGTGGTAGTCTGTACGGCTGAATTCATAGCTCAAACTCAATCTAGTCGGAGTCACTACTATGACCTATACGGCAATGTACTGCACATAAGTCGGAACCTCTAGACAGGGTCTGTACGATAAGGTTGGGTGTAATATAATTATGCTCAACTCTATTCTCATAATAGCCGGGCGATAAATCACTAGTCACCTACGAGTCGGAACCATGAATAAGGTCTGTACGACAAGATTGTGTACTTAAGTTGGATCCAATATGAGCATATAGTGTGGGAGGTGACGTAAATAAACAGGCCTGTAATTCATATCTATGGCTAATTCACAATCATCCTAGGTGCAGCTTTATGAGCTCAACATTACTTAATCACATATCACCTATCACATCATCGATGATTCACACAACCAAACATAACCTACCTGAACTCACCTGTGCCTCCACAACACCACATTCATATATATATGCAACCATGCAATGCATATTCCAAATATAGAAGCATTTGGCATATTATTTCTAAGCATACTTTCCTTAAAAATGCATTTCTAGGAAATATATAAAGTATATAAGTATATACTGAAAACAAAAGCCCACTTACTAGTATGTCGAAGGGTCGTAGCCCCCGAGTCGCCCGTGGATACGCTCGTCCTCGGGATAAGTCTCACCTATATGCGAATTAACTATAAAAACGATATTTTGAAGCACATATACAAAACCAGCTAATAACTTCTCATACATTACTCAATTTTGGTATTTAAATATACCAACACGACCTACACAACCTCACGAACATCGTGATATTTTTAGAAAAATTTTCCTATAGCTCACGCGCCCTCACGCGCCGGGGAGGGCACGGCATCACGCGTCCTCACGCGCATTACCTTCAACCTCCAGACGCTAGAATAGTGCCACCGGCATCAAATTCTGGGCAGACTTGCAACTGCCCATTTCTCTTTCGTTTTTGCACCATTTTCTATGAAATCTTCACCCAAATGTCACAAATTTCAAGAGAAAGAAGGCTATACCTCTTTGGAGCCTCAAATCCTTCGAAAACACGTCGGAAAAATCTCACCAAAACCAGCCACCTTCGAACCTCGTGATCCCGACGTCCAAAACCTTCAAATGAAGCACTCCGAGCTTCTTTGG